GGGCCAACCAGGCCTTGAAGGTCTCCTTCTTCAGCTTGACGGCTTCCCTCACCTCCGGTGTCCACCACCGGGTTCTCGGGTTGCCACCACGACAGGCACCGATGACCTTCCGGCCACAGCTCCTAGCGGCCGCGTCCACAATAGAGGCTTTGAACATGGTCCACTCGGATTCCGTGTCCCCAACCTCCCTCGGGATGTGTGAGAAGTTCTTCCGGAGGTGGGAGTTAAAGACCTCCCGGACAGGGTCCTCCGCCAGACGTTCCCAGTTCACCCTCACTACACGTTTGGGTTTGCCGGGTCTTTCCAACTGGTTCCCCTGCCATCTGATCCAACTCACCACCAGGTGGTGATCAGTTGACAGCTCTGCTCCTCTCTTCACCCGAGTGTCCAAGACATACGGCCGCAGATCAAATGATACGATTACAAAGTCGATCATTGATCTCCGGCCTAATGTGTTCTGGTACCAGGTACACTTATGAGCCACCTTATGTTCGAACATAGTGTTCGTTATGGCCAAACCATGGCAAGCACAGAAGTCCAATAACGAAACACCATTCGGGTTCAGATCGGGCAAGCCGTTCCTCCCAATCACCCCCTTGCCAGGTTTCTCCGTCATCGCCCACGTGAGCGTTGAAGTCCCCCAGGAGAACTATGGAGTCGGTAGGCGGCGCCCTTTCCAGGACCCCTCCCACCGACTCCAAGAAGGCCGGATACTCTAAACTGCTGTTTGGTGCATAAGCACAAACCACAGTCAGAGCCTTGCTCCCCGCAACCCGAAGGCGCATGGAGGCGACCCTCTCGCTCTCCGGGGAGAACTCCAACACAGCGGCGCTCAGCCGGGGGCTCGTGAGTATCCCCACTCCCGCCCGGCGCCTCTCACCCTGGGCAACTCCGGAAAAGGACAAAGTCCAACCCCTCTCCAGGAGCTTGGTTCCAGAGCCAACGCTGTGTGTGGAGGTGAGTCCAACTATCTCTAGCTGGTATCGCTCCACCTCCTGCACCAGCTCCGGCTCTTTCCCCGCTAGCGAGGTGACGTTCCACGTCCCTAGAGCTAGTCTATGCCGCCGGCGATCGGCATGCCCGGGGCTCCCGCCCGACCCGCCGCCCGGTCTGCATAGCACCCGACCCCGATGCTTGTCCCTGCGGGTGGTGGGTCCACAGGGTGGCTGCTCCATGGTGTTTATTCGGGCTGAGCCCGACCGGGCCCCATGGGCAAAGGCCCGGCCACCAGACGCTCGCCTACGAGCTCCCCTCCTGGGTCTGGCTCCGGGAGGGTGCCCCGGTTTCCCTGGTCCGGGCGAGGTGGCTGTAGTCCGTGGGCTAACTATCATAGGGGTTGTTTTGAACCGCTCTTAGTCTGGGCTCTCCCCTGAAACCTGTTTGCCTTGGGAGACCCTACCAGGGGCTAATGCCCCGGACAACATAGCTCCCAGGATCACTGAGCCACTCAAACTCCTCCACCACGATAAGGTGGCGATTCACGGAGGAGCTTCAAAACAGCAGTCTGCAAACCAATGTGTGATGTCATGATGACTACGTCCACTTTTTATACACAGTCTATGATCACAGTTCATAAATGATGAAAGAACAGCAAAAAAAAAAAGCACATGAAAACAGGAAAGCAAAGTGCATTCTTTCAGTTAGCAAAAACTTCTGAGAACTGTCAGGTTTTTAGTCTAGATTTGAAAGTTGCTACAGTTGGTGCACTTTTGAAACAATCAGGAAGATAAAAGCTTCAACACCGTGTTAAGTCTGACAGTAGGCATTACCAACAGTCTTCTGAGAGGTCTAACCAGGGGCGAAACTAGTACGGTACGGTCCAGTTTTCTGTAGCACTAAAGGATTCAGTGCCGTGATGAGGGGACAGCAACTGCCTTTCAAAACCCAAAACCCACTACAACAACCTGTCATGATCCCATTTCCCACAAGAAAACACATCTGCTATCCTTTGTTCAACATACAGTTAGTTACCTCCGGTTTACTAACTGCTTGCTTGTACAGTACGTTTCCCATTCATGAACATTGCATTTGTGCGGCATTCATAGTAGTTTCGGAATAATCCGAATAATTAGCTCCAAACCGGGATAATTCACGCGACTACCCCTTCAAATCAGAACAACAAGTCGAACACAGCTAACGTGTTGTTGAAACAATAAAATACAACACATATTCTTTGTGGCGTTCACGTTGTTTCCATCACCCGACTCAAAGCTCGGTCGGAAGAACGACTTC